ATTAGATGACATTAGATGATATTAGATGATATTAGATGATATTAGATGATATCAGATGATATTAGATGATATTAGATGATATCAGATGATATTAGATGATATTAGATGACATTAGATGATATCAGATGATATTAGATGATATTAGATGATATTAGATGATATTAGATGATATTAGATGATATTAGATGATATCAGATGATATTAGATGATATTAGATGATATCAGATGATATTAGATGATATTAGATGATATTAGATGATATCAGATGATATTAGATGATATTAGATGACAGATGATATTAGATGATATTAGATGATATCAGATGATATTAGATGATATTAGATGACATTAGATGATATTAGATGATATTAGATGATATTAGATGATATCAGATGATATTAGATGATATTAGATGATATCAGATGATATTAGATGATATTAGATGATATCAGATGATATTAGATGATATTAGATGACATTAGATGATATTAGATGATATTAGATGATATTAGATGACATTAGATGATATTAGATGATATTAGATGATAACTGGGAAAATGATAAGGATACTGTGGATGGTTGTGAAATCCGATAAACCACCAATAGGATGGTTGAAACCCGAAAAAATGGGATGTTTTTACCACCGTTTTCAACTGGAGAAGGATTTCGCAACCATCCACCGTAGCTATGGAAAATGGCCCATGTATACTTGATTTGCTTTTGAAAAATGGTGATGTTCCATAGTTTTTTGTATGTCTACCAGTGTGTATCACTAATTTGTTGGGAACCGAGTTCATAGTATGGTAAACCCTGCCATTAAACCTACCATGACTGGGGATGGATTTTAATGATTACATCATTCAAATTTAAGTGGTGATTTTTGGGATGGCTTGTTATTGGGCTTAGCACATTAATTGTAATCATCAGAAGTATTAAGATGGTTGTTCTTAATAGGGCCTGACCCAAGCATACAAGGGGATTCCCATCCATATCAGGATATATACAACCAGCCCAAAATAAGGATCAATGGTTAATGGAGATACATACATATATATTATATATATATATATTATTATATATAACCACTCAGATTAGTAATTATGATTATAAATATTATATATTAATACTGGTGTTCCCCATCGACGGTGAATCATTATATAGTTGTAGTTGTGTGTATATATATATTATATAACCTATCCAGGTTAATGGGGAATTATGTGATGGGGAATTATGTGATAGGGATTCTCGCATCAAGGTGCTGCCCCAGAGATAAAGAAGTTCGGCAAGTTGGTTAACAAGTCAGGGATGGGTAGATGGCCGTTGTGCTTCGGCCAGGGTTTCATGGCTGCATCTCATTGAATGCAACATTTTCCACCCCAGCCAACTAGTACTAACTAGGGTGACTTGGTAATTAAACTGATACTTGGATGAGTTTACAATGGTGTGTAAATACCAATGGTATATAATCATGTTTAATTACTGATACCACTTGGACGGGTATATGTACTTCCTTTATAAAACTATAGTATCAAAAAATTGGGGTGTACCAGCAGAAACATGGGCGTTTCCCTCTGGGAAAATGCACGTATTCGCATCGCCAGAAATGTACCGTCCAAAAGCCAGGGTTCCTGAGGTGGCAGGAACTGAGGGGGTGACCATCCCAGGAAAATGCCCCACAAATGGTGCGCTTTCCATATAAACTTGTTGGTTTACAGAAGGTGAACCTATACTAACCCTTGCTAACCTATGTTAACCTAAGTTTAACCTGGTTTGAAACACCGACAGCAAGACTATGCTGCTCAATTTCTCAATGGGAATTCCACTTTTGGGGTGGAAGGTGTGACAGCCCAAGATTTGAAAGGGTCCCAAAGGCCCCTATGCTCCAGAGTTCAATGGTGCTGGTTTCGGACCCATTGAGGATCCACAGGTGGCCTTCAAGTTCTCGCCACTCAAAACGGTTTCACATCTTTTTCAGCGTACCATATCTTTCTTTCGCCCCAAAATGAAGAGAAACCACTAATTGATACTAATTGTAGGACCACAGGGATCTATAGGCCAAGTTCTCTCTAGAATGAGAAGAAAAGAAACCATTTGGATCCGTTTGGTGATTTTTACACAACCATACTCAGCTCTCAAGCTGGTCGATAAACTGAACCAAAACACTTCAGACACGTTTCCTCCCCCTTTGCTGCACATCAGTCAATTAAATTAAATTAAGCTATATCGCATCAAGCCATAGCTTGTTCAGAAACGATAGATGGGTATTTTGTACGTCCTGCACCCCGTGCATTGCACCCCTTTCCCTCCGCACGTCCTGATAGTAATGTTCCGGATGAGAATGTCCTGCGCGCAAGGGGGCTCCCATCCGCATGTCCGGATCAGCCGGGCTTCGCCGGCAGTTGGTATGTCGATAACCAAGCCTGCCACCTAACCCCAAATATGTACCTGAGCCCAGGAAGGGTTGCACCAGCCTGTGTCTTGACACACATAAGATGGACCAGCCGTATGGATGTGTAATGAAATCAGAAAAGGAACAGTAAGGAACTGGATACCCTCTGGTAAACTAACATAGCTATAGGAAATTGCCCATTTAAAGTTGTTTCACCTACTAAACATGGTGATTTTCCATCGTTTTTTGTATGTTTGCCAGGTCGGGTAAATGAACAAATAACTTCGTTGCGACGTGCGGTACTCCTCGGACTCCTGGAACTGGATGG